GGACTGGCAGGTGGGGTGTTCAGGGCCCAGCTGCTGACACCTGATCCCGCCCTGGCCAGGTGGGAGGAAGGAGATTGGGCGGCTGGCCCCTGAGATGCCCAAGATAACCAGACAAGGAGATAACCAGAGTCAATCCAGTCGAGTTGGGTGATAGGCTGAGATGACGCACTGAGCCGCTGAGGCAGATCCTACCTGGAGACACTCGGGCACCTTGATCGCAGGCAGGCCTGACCTGGCGGGGGGCGGGGGCGAGTGGGCACCAACCTCGGCGTTTCCGTGGCTCGGAGCTTCCGTGCCCTTCGGCTTGCTCTGCTGTAGTTTTGTTTTTGGGTCACACCTGGACGTGCTCCGGGGTCACTCTTGGCTCTGCACTCAGGACTTACTCCTGGAGGTGCTCGGGGGTCCCTATGGGATGCCGGGATTGAACCCGGGTCAGTTGTGTGCAAGGCAAATGCCCTCCCTGCTGTACTAGACTTCTGGCCCCAAGGCCCAAAACTTAAAGAAAAATCCTTGCTGGGGATTCCCCGTCCCTGGCGTCCTGTCAGCCTCGTGGGTCTGCACACGGCTTGTGCGACTGCCTCGAGTGGCCAGTGACAAGGGCGCCCGCGTGTCCTCCTGCTCCCCAGGGCTGCTCTCTGCCCGGTGCTCCTGGCCCTGCAGCCCTCAACTCCTGCCCTGTGTTCACTCCTCCTTTCTGTGGTGTCCCCCTCCTCTCTCGGTGGCCCTCCCCCTGGGGTCACCCCCTTCCTGCGTGGTGCTGGGACAGCAGAGCTGCCGGGTTTGTGCCGGCTTTGTGCCAGGTGCACGGTTGACCCCGGGGGCTTGGATTCAGGACCTCCTGCTTGTGAGGCAGTGCTCATAACTCCCTCTTGTACATTCCTCCCCTCCAAGCTGAAGGAACGGACTTGACCCACGTTCAGGCTCACACTTCTGCTTCCTGCCGAATCACTGCCGGCCGCTAGCAGGCCAGGACCCGTGTGCCATGCCTGTGTGAAGCAGGGACGTTCCAGGGCGTGAGCCTGCTAGCGTCTTTGTCATGGACACACGTGGTCCCATCACAGGATTTAGGGTCAGGGTCCAAACACAGGAGCATGGGGGTGGGGGGGTGGGGGCTTGTTCAGGCCGGAGACTCTACTAGGCTCACACACAGCATTGAGTGCTCAAGTCTCAGGGAGACAGTGAGGCTCAAACACATTTTCTTTTGCGCTGTTTTTTTCTCTCTTTTTTTTTTTTTTTTTAGGCTTTTTGGGTCACACTCAGTGATGCTCAGTGTTGCCTACTGACCAAGTAAAAGAATGCTTGATTTTTCATTCCCCCTTTGTCCTGCTCAAAGCTGGGCAACCTCCCAGTACAGGAGGTTTCAGTTTGGGGAAAATGGACCCTCGTAAATGATTTGTAAATGGTGTATGAGGAACAGCACAATCTTTGCAGTTATGTCAAAGCTATATCAAAGTAGGTCGTTCTGACCAATAGCATTATGCCGAAATGGTCACCAGGTGGCTGACCAACAGTGCATGGCTCTGCTCATTGTCCCATCCACTTTCCCACGTCCCATCCCTTTTCCTTCTTTTGGGTGGGCTGTGGAAACATACTTAAGTCTGTACTTATGCTCTGAATAAACGCACGCATTCATGCCATCTCCTGAATGACGGAACCCTGTGTGACTCGAGTGCTGATTTCACCCTGACGGCCCTCCCCTGGCTCTGCCCCGCAGTGCCGGACGTGGCACTCAGGAATTACTCCTGGCAGTGCTCAGGACTGGTGATCGAATCTTGGTCAGCCGTGAGCAAGGCAAACCCCTCCCCACTGTGCTCTCACTCCAGCCCCTCCTTTTGCATCTTTTTGTGTTTTTTCAGAATTGATTGATTTCCAAGTAGCGTTTGCTGGCCCTGACGTTCTCTGCAGAGTCCCTTGTTGCACACTGTGTTTCGTGGGCACCTTGACATGAAGACTTGGCGTTTGCCTGCTGCATGGCTGACCCCATAGGTCCCCTGAGCACCGCCAGGAGTCATTCCCGAGTGCAGACCCAGGAGTAACCCTGAGCACTGCCGAGTGTCCCAAAAAACAAAAGGAAAGAAAGAAAATAGGTATCCTTGCCCGGAAGGGTAGCCCAGGGCCAAGGAGCCTGCCTTGCCTGTGGCTGACCCCACCCCACCCTGTACGTCCCTTCCCACCCAGGTCCTGCCAGGATGAGCTCCCATGACTGGATCAGAGTCAGCCCTGAGCACCGTCAGATGTCCCGTCCTCAGCCCCCAGGTTAGGTCACTCCGCCCTCCCCCCCCTCCCCACCACTCCCCGGTTCCCGCTCACTCATCCTCGAGGGAACCCGCACTCATTCAGCTTGTGCTCCCAGCCGGAGCAGGCCAGGCCATACTCCTCTGTACAGCTCTCAGGCCTTAGTGGGCTGGGTCACTCCCTGGCCACGGTGCGGCCGGTGTTGCTCACAGCACTGGGGTCACAGAGAGCAGGGCTGTCAGGGTCGAACTCAGGGCCTCTGCCCTGTCTCTCTGCCCCCCCGCCCGCCCGCCCCCCCCCCCCCCCCGGCTCACAGATTTCCTGGCCTGGCTCCTGAGGAGGGCCCTGGGCAGGGTCACTGGGTCCAGGTCCCACTCGGGGGATGCTGAATGACCTCATTTGGAGATCTGTAACTGACAAACATTTGTCAAAAGTTTTCTGAAACCACTTTCACAGGGCCCAGGGATCCAGAACTGGGCCCCGCAGGGACCAGAGGCTCGTTGGCCATGTAGTGCTGACGTCTGCAAGGGCAGCCCTCCAGAGCCTCAGCCAGACACTGACATCACGAAGGGTGGCGCCTGCCCCTTTAAGAATGGCCCATGATGCCCTCCTCCTTGCTGAATTCTAGTTCTACCTCAGAAAATTCTAGACTCCAACTGCCATTTTCAGTCTCTCCACGAGTCTGGCACGAGCCTGTTTGGCAGAGCTCAGTACTGAAGCTGCGAGTGCAGTGTGACACAGGTGAATCTGAGTCTCTGGGCTTTCTGCCCGTGTGCCGGCGGCTTTTTTCTCTAACAGTTCTTTAGTGTATGATAGTTTTTAATCTTTAGTTAGTTTAAGTTTTTTTACTAGTTATATATATATTTTTGGGTGGGGTGGGGGCGGGGTGGGGTGGGGTGGCCATACCTGGCTGTGCCCAGGGGTGACCCTGGCCGGCTAACGTCCCTGTGCTGACAGAGATTGAGCCCAGGACAACTGGATATAAGGCAAGTGCCCTCCCCACTGTCCTGCCTCTCTGCCCCTTGCGGACTTCTCTATTGAAATATGGAAAGACTCTGAAGTCAGTGGGCCCTCATGGGGGGCTGATGAGAAGCAGAGGAGAAGATATCACTCCTCCGGGACTGGCTGGAGCACTGGCACTGCTGAGTGCAATGAGCCCCGCCAGCCCCACGACGCCCACTAGGCCTTCCCGGGGTCTTGGGCCGGAGTGAGGGTTTGCCCTTTTCAGGGAAAGGGAGTTGATCCTCGACCTCCTCAGGCCCCCGGGCCTTTGTCCTCCTCGCAGAAAAGCATTTCAGGAGATGAGCAAGAAGCAGAAACATTTTATTTGGAGGCCTTTAGGAAGGGGAAGGAGGGAGGGAGTAACACGCTCGAGAGAGAGTGCGGCTTCTTCAGAGGTGCAGAAAGCCACTGAACATGTTATGTTGCTAGGTTGCATTCGGTCTGAAAGTCCACACCTCAGGAGGGGAGAAGCCCGTGACATGATGGACCTCATAGGCAAGAGCAGTACCTGGGCTCGGGCACACATGAGCGCCCTCCCTTGGTTCAAGGTGGCTAATCTAGGGATTTCCCCAGGCTGCCCCTGGTGGGAGTTTCTAGCTACCTAGAGTCCGTTGCTAGGGTGGTTGCCAAGGGGGTAGAGTTGAGTGGTCCATGGTCCTCTTAGAAATTCCTTTCCTGCCCTTTGTTCCTATTCCCTCGGGGGGTCCAGCCTGCTCTGGGCCTCATAATGTGGGTTAATTTTGACAAGACCTTGGGTCCCGTGCACTCAGGTAGTCTTTTGGTGGCCATGAAGCTTTTGTTGACTTTCTCGGAGTTCCATCGCCATGGGGACGCTTCCCCCATCTACCTGTCTGCCTCAGTTCTGTGGGTTAAGAAATGGAGTTAATACTGGCTTGTGGTTATCCAACCTGGGCAGCGTCACAAGGAATGAAGGAAATGCCGAAAACTCCTTCGCTCCCCTTTGGCACAATTTTTTTTTTTCTTTTTGGGTCACACCTGGTGATGCACAGTGTTTACTCCTGGGTCTGCACTCGGGAATCACTCCTGGCAGTGCTTAGAGGACCATATGGGATGCTGGGAATTGAACCTGGGTCGGTCGCGTGCAAGGCAAATGCCCTTCCCACTGTGCTATCGCTCTCCAGCCCCCCTTTGGCGTAGTATTGCTGGGCCCTTTTCCCTTGCAGTTCTCAGCCCATAGAAAAAAGTGTGCCTGTTGCTTGCCTTAGCTTCTACGTGTAACCCCGGGCCTCTCACACATACACATACGCACACACGCACACAGAAGACCAGCCATCACTGCTGCGTCGCCTGCCGGCTCCTCAGTGTCTGGACGGGGAGGTGGTCAGTGACACTCGCGGTGCTCAGGGATGATTTCTGGCTCCTGAATGTGTTTGGTGGTGGGAGTGATGGCAGGGAGGGCGTGAGGGTCAGCTGCCCGCAGGGCTAGTACCTGTCCCCTCTGCTCTCTGGCCCCGAATCGGCAGTTGTTTGTTTGTCTGTTTTGGATTGAGTTTTTGCACAGGAATGACACTTGGTGGGCTCAGGGGGCTGTGCGGGAGACTGGGGGTCGCACTCGGGGTGGCGAGTGCCAGACTGGCAGCTCTCTGGGCTCCGGAAGCTGCTGTGGTCGCTCCCCTGAGACAGACTCTCTCCTCTGCTCTTCAGAGATTTAGTCCTGAGAACGAGTGTGCCTCAGAAGGCCCCACAGTGGGCTCGATGGTCGGGGCCTGGTAGTGGCCGCGGCAGCGTCTGACCGCCTGACCATGAGTCTGCTGAGGCCCAGCGGGCTGAAGGCCCCCACCAAGATCCTCAAGCATGGGAGCTGGGCCCTGAAGGCACCCTCGGCCGGTAAGTGCGCTCAGCCCAGGCCAACGGAGACTCATTCCCACCCGGGAACCCCATCCCGAGTCCTCGCCCGGGAAGGGCTCCCTGAGCTGTAGACACGTCCGTGGCTCTGGGGACAGCTCTCACACACGAGTGTCACGTTCTGTGAGTTTAGTGTCACGGCAACCGGTGACAGCTGAGGCGACCAACACGCTCCCTTCTAACTGCTAGCTCCCTTGCCCGGGCTTGGGGACAGGCTTAGGGAGGTGGACTCACCTGGACTAGAGGCCTCATTGCCGGCCAAATCCACAGTACAGTGGGGAGGGCAACTGGCACCCCATGTGACTCTCCACCCTCAACCTCAGCATGAGTAACCCTGAATGGAGAACCAGAAATAGGCCCTGAGCATTGGCTGGGTTGCTCCCCGCCCAAAAGAAAAAGAAGATGGGCCAGTGGACACAGCAGAAATAAGACACTGGGTTCGAGCTTTCACCTGGCTTGGTCCGTAGTATCACGGGGTGTATCCAAAGATTTCCCCTGAGCTGCCCAAAGTATGACTGCGGCCTGGGATGCTGCGGTAGGTGAGCACGTCCGCTTCACGGCTGGCCCGGCCAGGCTTCGCCACAAGCAGCCCCCGTCATTGGCTGGGAGTAGCCCCGAGCACTGCTGGGTGTCCCTCTCCCCCAACCACACTTTAACTGGACCTGCACAGGCCCTTCCTGTCCCTTCTGACCCTTTTGACCGTCTCTGCTGTTCCAGCGGCTGCTCCCGTTGAGAAGACCGTGCCTGGGGAGAAAACCCCCAGCGCCCCCTCCTCGGAGATGCAGGAGGAGTTTGTGGGCGACTTCCAGGTCGGGGAACGAGTCTGGGTGAACGGGAACAAGCCTGGATTCATCCAGTTCCTCGGGGAGACCCAGTTTGCCCCTGGTCAGTGGGCCGGGATCGTCTTGGACGAGCCCATCGGCAAGAACGACGGCTCGGTGGCGGGTGTGCGCTACTTCCAGTGCGAGCCGCTGAAGGGCATCTTCACCCGGCCGTCCAAGCTGAGTAGGAGCTTGCAGGCCGACGATGAGACCAACTGCTGGCAGCCAGCGCCTGCTGCCTGTGCCACACCGCCCCTGTCGGCCTCCCCGGCCCCTGCCGGCACCGCGAAGGTGCCCCAGTCCCCCGCGAAGGAGTCACCGGCCACCCCTCACATCAGCAGCCTGACCAGGACGGCCAGCGAGTCCATCTCCAACCTCTCTGAGGCTGGCTCCCTCAAGAAAGGGGAGCGGGAGCTGAAGCTCGGGGACCAGGTGCTGGTGAGTGCCGAGGGCAGCGGTCGCGGGTGGCTGTCCATTCGCCTGTCTGGTCCATCAGTTCCTCCAGACTCGCGGTTTGGGTGGAAGCACGAGCAGCCGGGACGCCTGGTCCTGCAGTTTCCAGTGTGATGGATGCGTGCGGGGATGCTGCCAGTTTTACCAGTTTAGCCAAAACAGGGTGGAGGGGTCATGCCGTGGGGAGGGGTCATGCTTTGCACGCCTCTGACCCGGGGTTTAAGTCTTGGTCCCATGTACAGTCCCCCAAGCACATCCCGGAGTGATCCCTGAGCACCAAGCCAAGAGTAAGCCCTGAGCACTCTGACTGTGACTCAAAAACAAAACCAATGAACAAAGTTGGAAATCGGTTCTATTTCTCTGGTTTTCGATGTTTTTGCTTGGGGCGTCACAGGGTGGTCGCACACAAAGCACCCTTCCCCCGGTGCTCCAGCCCTGTTTGTCAGCATTCCTGTCAGTGTCCAGCGCTGTGATTCTGTTTTGCTCTGTGTCCCGGGAGCCAAGCGTCAAACCAAGGCATAGTGAAGGAGAACTGGAAGATCGAACTCTGCTAAGATACGAGAACAGTCATTTTCCTTTAGCTGGTTTTTGGCTTAATTGTTCTCCAGCGGTGGGGTTGCCACTGCTCCGCTCCCACACCCACGGGGCAGCGACCCCCTCGCCACACCAGGTGGCTGGCCTGGGTCAGAGATTCCCGGGGGTGTGGTCAGCCAGGCCACCGGTGACAGCGAGTGGGTGTGAATGCTGCTGCCTTGCATGGACACTGAGCAGCAGCGTCTGCTCACCCTGTAGGGGTTGCGGGGGAAATGGCACTTTGACCTTTGGGGTTTCTTCAGGAAATCCCGACTCTGAAGCCAGAATGTTCGTTTGCGGGGGTGGGGGCGCTGTGCGTAGTCCAGGGTGCCTGACCCACGTCCCTCCATCCCTCTGGCAGGTGGGAGGCATGGAGGCCGGTGTGGTGCGCTTCCTCGGGGAGACGGACTTCGCCAAGGGGGATTGGTGCGGCGTAGAGCTGGACAAGCCACTGGGCAAGAACGATGGTGCCATGGCCGGAACGAGGTGGGTCCCCCTGTCCCCCCAGACAGCCTGGGGCCATGCACGGTGCCCGGGAGGCGCTGAGGGGACTGCAGGCCACTTCACTTGGTTCTTAGGCGGGGCCACTTCCAGTGGCACGCGGGGACCCTGCAGGGATGTGGGTACAGCCTGGGGCCCCCACATGCAGCTGTGCTCGGGCCGCAGGAAACCCCCGGGCCTGCTGTCGCCCTTCAGATGCCAGGGAGGCTGCTTGGAATCGCCCTTGGTTTGCGTGGTGGGGGTGGGCGGCATGCGAGCGAGTGTGGGTGTGAATGTATGATGGAGTGTGTATGTGAGCGTGTGAGTGTGGGGCTGTGAGAGTGTTGGTGGGGGCGTGGGCATGAGAGTGTTGGTGGGGGTGTGAGCGTGTTTGTGGGGGAATGAGAGCGTGTCAGTGTTGGTTTGAGAGCGTGCAAGTGTTGGTTGGGGTGTGCGTGTGTGTTACTGTGGGGCTGTGGGTGTGTGGGAGTGTTGGTTGGGGTGTGAGTGTGTGTGGGTGTGGGAGTGTCGGTGGGGTGTGAGTGTGAGTGTGTGTTGGTTTGGGTGTGAGTATGTGTGTTTCTGGGGAGTGAGTGTGTGTGAGTGTGGGGCTGTGGACATGTGGGAGTGTCTGTTGGGGTGTGAGTGTGTGTGTTTGATGGGGTGGGAGTGTGAGAGTATGGGAGTGTTGGTTGGGGTGTGAGTGTGTTTGTTGGGCTGTGAGAGTGTGGAAGTGTGGGAGTCTTGGTTGGGGTGTGAGTGTAAGTGTGTGTTGGTTGTGGTGTTTATGTGTGGGAGTGTTGGTTGGGGTGTGTGTGTGTTTGTTAGGTTGTGAGTGTGTGTGAGTGTGGGCTGGTGGAGGGTATGATGTTTGTTGGGGAGTGAGTGTGAGTGTGGCGCTGTGGAAATGTGGGAGTGTTGGTTGGGGTGTGAGTGTGAGTGTGTTTGTTGGGGTGGGAGTGTGAGAGTGTGGGAGTGTTGTTTGGGGTGCGTGTGTGAGTGTGTTTGTTGGGGTGTGAGTGTGTGGGCATGTGGGGCTGTGGGAGCGTGTTCGTTTGTGGGGGTGTGAGACTGTGGGACTCAGTGGACTTCTGGGTCGGCGCTTGTGTCTCTTGCCGAAGGTGTTTTTGTCCCCCCCTCCTCGTTGTCCGCAGGTACTTCCAGTGTCAGCCCAAGTATGGCTTGTTTGCTCCCATTCACAAAGTCACCAAGATCGGCTTCCCGTCCACGACGCCGGCCAAGGGCAAGGTGGCCGCCGTGAGGCGTGTGATGGCCACCACCCCCGCCAGCCTGAAGCGCAGCCCTTCGGCCTCCTCGCTCAGCTCCGTCAGCTCCGGGGCCTCATTCGAGAGCAGCAGATCCGGCCGCACGGGACTAGTAAGCAGCCCCCTACCACTGCGGGGTGCTCGGGCCCCCACAGACTCCCACAGCCCCAGGGGCGAGAGGAGGAGCAGGAGCACGTGGGCTGAGCAGCTCCGGGTGGCAGGCGAGTGGCTTCCCAGCCACCACCAGTGACAGGAGCAGGGATGGGCCTTTCCTGGGGTGCTCAGGGCTCCTCTCTGGCCTCAGGCCACCTTAGGGATGAAGTGGGGTAGCCGAAGGGGGCGCCTGAGGGTCAGAGCAGGGCCCAGAGACTCTGGGGAACGCTTGGCCCTTCATCTTGCTTCTTTGCTCTCTCCGTCTCTCCCTGCTCCCTCCTGTCCCTCTGCACCGCTGTCCACATGCAGAGTGGCCTCGACTTCTGTCCATTGCGGTGCCGCAATTCAAAGCTGGGGCCTCGTGGCTTCTCCCCTCACGTCTATCTGAGTCATAAACACTAAAGTGTGTCTGAATATGCAAGGGTGCCCTGAGATATTGTCCACAGGGAAACGGGCCCACGATGGAGAGGGTGTCCCGGGGGGCTGGCTTTGCTGGGGGCTGCGCTTCCTGCCGCCGCCTCTGCTCCATGCATTGACCCTCGATGTGGAAGAGGAGGGAGTGAGTGTGTGTGCAACGGAAGATACAAAACAGATGACACGGGAACGGGAGCCAGGAGGCCACGCGCCGTGGGCACAGGCCTGGGGCCAGTCCTGTCTTGCTCGACCACCACCAGGTTTCCCTGCCCCACGTGCATCCTCACGTCCGACTCCTCCTTCCCTTCGCCTCACCATTTAGGAGGGGAGCAGACTCAGAAGCCCCTCTCCTTCCCTCGCGAACCAGCCCATTTGTGGAATTTGGTTTTGTTTTTCTGCTTGACTGTGGGCCATACCCTACAGTGCTTCAAAGGGCCGTTTGCAGTGCTGGGGTTTTGCCGGTGCCTCCCACCTCCAAGCAAGAGCCCTACGCCTGAGACGTATCTCCAGCCTCCCCCCGCTATCTTGTTTTGTTCTGTTTTGGGGTCACACTTGGCAGAGCTCAGGGCTTTCTCCCTCCTCTGTGCTCGGGATTATTCCTGGCGGGCCTCCGGGATTGAGCCTGGGCAGCGCTGGAGCTTCGCTCTCCAGCTCTTTGGCCCCTGCCTTGCATATCTTTATGCAGGGTGGAGCTCACTCCTAAACTGAACATCACCGTTAGCGTCTATGACAGGAATATAGAAAGATTCTGTGTGACTTCACGGAAGTATACCTCGACAACATAATTCCATAAGTGCACACACAAGCGTTCATACACACAGTCACTCATACATGTACACGTAGTGCATACCGTATATACACAGGCTTATGTGTATACACACACAGGCACATACATGCATAAACACAACGCGCGCATGCACACAGGTGCGTGTAGATATGCCCACCGGAACATACATGCACGCATACATACATGCACACGGGTCTGTGCGTGCCCTGTAGAGGCCTCCCTGTTCGTCTGTTGGCTGAGTTGCTCTTCTGAGGTACCAGGCTCCCACAGAAGGCCTGGCCTTGCTGGGATGGAGCCTGGGGCCTCACAAACCACGCGCAGGGCAGAGGCTTTGGCATCAGCATCCTGAGTTCAGCTCGTGGCCCCGACCTTGCCCAGCCCCTCAGCACGCGCCTCCCCCCATGCTAGGGGTGCTTCTTTCTCCCTGCTCCGGCGCCTGAACCTCACAGTCTCGTCTCCATAGTTGGCTGAAAGAAGCCCATCGCTCCTGTGCTGGTTTCCTCAGGGAGCTGTCTCGGGCACAGGAAGCGAGTGCGTCTGGCCTGCCCCACCCGCTCAGGCCAGGAGGCTCAGGGAACACCGCCGCCCGCCTTTCTTAGTTTTTATTTTTGCTCTTTGGTGTTCACCTGGCAGTGCTCAGGGACTCCAGGCGTGGTGCTTGGGGGCTGCTCCCGGTGGAGGGGGGTTGAGCCCGGGTCTTGTTGTTAGACCCCCAAGGCTGCCAAGCTCTTCCCAGCCACCCCTTGAAATCCGAGTTGACTGCAGTTCCCGGGAGCACTGCACATGGCTGGCCCGAGAGCTCGTGTGCTCCTAGAAATTTTAGTTATTATTTGGTTTTGGGGCCACACCCAGGGGTGCTCAGGGCTTATTCCTGGCTCTCTGCTTGGGGGGTGGGGTCACTCCTAATGGTGCTGGATCTTGAACCTCTGCAAGCACCTTCCCCCACCCCCCCCAACAGACTCTTTGGCCCTGGGGAGGGCATTTAATCGGACCAGATATACTTTAAGTGTATCGGGAAATCACGGCCAGGTCCTTACGCACAGGCAAGGATGATCCCGCTCTCCGGACAGAACCAGGTGGCTCGAGAGCTCCCAGCAGGCAAAGCAGCAGTGGACAGCCTGGGCCCTGCTGGGCCCGTCGGTCAGGAGGCGTTTGGCAGCAGCTCAGATGATGCGGGGAAGCGGCAAGAGAACCTGCGGCTGGACCGCAGCAGGGCGATGGAACAGGGATGGCCGGGCAGAAGGAGCGGAAGTCCTGGCCATCGCCGCTGCAGCCCCCGCCACCATGTGCCCGAAGAATGAAGATCAGGTCCCGCCTTGTCCCCTCCTGCAGGGGCCGTTGTGCAGAGAGGGATCTGGGTCTGCAGAGCAACCATGAGCGACCACGAGCCCAGGATAGATCGGACAGGACCCCCGGTCCCCGCAGCCCTTCAGCCCACTCCCCTCCCCTCCTCACTGTCTTTGCCTCTTCTCTCCTTCCCTTTGTGCTTGGTCTTTCCCTGAGCTGCCCTTGCTGTCCTGCTTGCTGGGCGTGAGCCCTCACACATTCGAACCCACCACTTTTTCCTTTTTTTCCCCCTGGACTTTGTCCATGCCCCAGCAATACTCAGGACTTACTCTGGACTCTGCACTCAGGAGTCACTCCTGGTGGGCTCGGGACCCTATGGGGTGGGTACCTGTTATCCAGCTCGGGTCAGCGGCGTGCAAGGCCAGCGCCTTTCCCGCAACTTTATCATTTAGCCTCTCATCTCCCATTTTCGAAGGCAGATGGCACAGGGGTCTTTTATAAGGTCACACCCAGTGACCCCCGGGGGCACGGGGCCATTCCCAGAGACAAGAGTCTCTGGTTACTGCTATTCAGGCATGGGGTGGGTGCCCGGGAGAGCGAGGTGAGCTGGAAGGAAGAGGAAGAGAGAAGGGACAGGCTGCCCTGGGAGACCCTGATGGACCTGCAAGGCTGAAGATGCTGGAGCTGGCCTCAAGCTCAAGTCAAGGGCTCATCCTTAAGGAAGCTCAGGCCAGAGCGGGCTGTGGAGGGGGCTGCCTCCAGCTCTGCAGAAGAGTCTCTGGATTCCCACGAGGCCCGTGGTCAGTGGAGCCCAGGTCCCGTCCAAGGATCTTCGGGAAGGTTTCATGACGTTTCTGCTGAGAGTCGCTGGCCCATATGCAAGGATGCAGCACTGCTCCATGTGCTTTGCCGAGGATCACTTCAAGCATGCCCGTGTCGGCCGGCCCCATCCCCTTCACGTCTCTTTTTCCTTTGCAGTTGCCGGAAACCTCCTCCTGCTACGCGCACAAGATCTCTGGCACCACCGCCCTCCAGGAGGCGCTGAAGGAGAAGCAGCAGCACATTGAGAAGCTGCTGGCCGAGCGGGACCTGGAGCGGGCGGAAGTGGCCAAGGCCACGAGCCACATGGGGGAGATAGAGCAGGAGCTGGCCCTGGCCGGTACGGGCACGACCAGGTGACGTCTGTGCAGACGGCAGTGCCGGGGCCGAGAGACGCCTGCGGTAGAGGCTGGGCGCGAGCTTGGTGCAGGCGGTGCAGGCAGAGGCTGTGGGTCCCCGTCTGCCGTCGTTGCGGTGGCGTCCGGCGCGTGGTTTGATCGCATGCGCCTTCTGCTCGCCCTCTGGGGGTTTAGGGAGTGCCGAGTTGTCCGCGCCAGTGCTTTCGTGGTGTGGTTCCCCTCTGGCCTTCCAGAAATGCCGTAGCTTAGGTGGGAGATCCATTCAGCTTGCCGTGGTGACAGGTGGCGATGCCAGCCCACAGAGGGCTGTTGGGGGCGGGCGAGGCCACTCACGCGCCATTGCCTCTACAGCACGTCCTGGAGCTGGAGGCCAAGAACAATGAGCTGCGGGCCATGCTGGAAGCGACCGACTGGGAGAAGGTGGAGCTGCTGAACCAGCTGGAGGAGGAGAAGAGGTGAGGCCGTGCCCGGAGCTGGGGGCTCCCTCGGCTGGGGCACTCCTGGCCTTCCAGGGCTGTGAGAACCAGAAACCAACGGGTGCCCAGTCCTGAGCGCGGCCTCACCGGGAGGGCTGGGGGGGGAGCTCAGTGGAGCCAAGCCACCCCCGGCCCTCCCTGCTGTGTCCACCTGGCCTGGTATTCAGGAGGCCTGTGCTGGGTGGCAAGGAACTGTCCTAACCCAGTGGGGCCCTGTGGGAGTCCCTGTGGTTAAGTCCCAGGCGGGAGGAAACCCACAGTACTCATGGGGCACGACAGCAGACAGACAGGGCTCAGGCTAGGCTGCAGACAGACGGACGTGGTGCTCAGGCCGGGGTGCAGACAGACAGACATGGGGCTCAGGCCAGGCTGCAGACAGACGGACGCGGGGCTGAGGCCTGGCTGCAGACAGATGGACACGGGGTGCTGGCCGAGACCGCCTTTTCAGATGGGCTCCCGGCAGTGTGGTGCCCAGGGGCACTGCCAGTGCCTGGCTCAGCCCCTCAGCTCCACATGCCAACTCGACAGTCACTGGGAGCCCCTCCCCTCCCCGCCCCCGAGTCGTTGGCTGCTTCTCCCCCAGGGGCTCAGTTGTTGTCCCAATGTGGGGACAGGTGCTGGCTGGGAGGGACTGGCAGGCGCTGCGGGTCAGTTTTTAACCACCTCTGTTAGCTGCGAGGCAGAATGGGTTGATATGACACTGCACCTGGCGTTTGCTCGGCCTAGCTTCCTCCTGTAGCCTGCGGGTCCCACCCAGTGCTCGAAGGTGAGGGGACTCGCTGACTTTCTTTTTTTTCTTTTTGGGTCAACCCAGCGATGCTCAGGGGTTACTCCTGCCTCAGCACTCAGGAATTACTCCAGGCATTGCTCCGGGGTCCATAGTGGTATGCTGGGAATTGAACCCGGGTCGGCCACGTGCAAGACAAACGCCCTGCCTGCTGTACTCTCGCTCTGGCCCTCCCCGACTCTCTCAGCCCTCCTGTGTGTGGAGCCGGGGGCTGGGTCAGGCGCATCTAGAAGATGGTGGCCCTCATAGGGGGCAGCAGTGACGCCCCTCACAACGTCTCCCTCTCCCCCACAGGAAAGTGGAAGACCTCCAGTTCCGAGTCGAGGAGGAGTCCATCACCAAAGGCGACCTGGAGGTAAAGCCCGGGCAGGTCCCAGAGGCTTGCAGGGTGCAGGCAAGGATGCGGGGCGGCCTGGCCGATCCCGCCGGGACCACTTCTGCTGGAGACTCCGAATCAGACAGGGATACCTGGGGTCATGCACCTGGCAGGGCCCGCCTGACACATCTCTGCTCCTTGGGGCTGGAGGCTGCTCTTGATGAGCGTTTTTCTCTCGTTCTGACAGTCGGGTCTATGCCTTTGCCTCAGCTTTGATTTTCAGTCGAGCAGCACAAATCAAATCCTTTAGAACCCCATTTTTTGGAAGCTTTTCCTTAAAACAAGAAGAAGCAAAGAGTCAGTTTGGAAAAGAAAAGTTTCTATTTCTGCTTCTTTTCCTTCCTGTTTTAAGTTCATGGAAATTTTGTTTTCCCACCAGAAGGAGGTGAAGTCCCTGCAGGCGGCCTCTGAGAAGCTTGCCAAGGAGAACGAGTGCCTGAGGACCAAGCTGGACCATGCCAACAAGGAGAATGCGGACGAGATCGCCCTGTGCAAGTCCAAGCTGGAGACGGCCATCGCCCCGCACCAACAGGCCATGGGCGAGCCGAAGGCATCCGTGAGCCAGGGCGTGGGCGCCGAGGCGGCCGAGCTGGCCGAGCTCAAGATGCAGATCGAGAGGCTACAGTTCGAGTACCAGCAGGAGGTAGAGAGCCTGAAGGCCCAGCAGGCGGCTGAGCGTGCAGCGCACGCCTCCGAGCTGCAGACGCTCAGGTCGCGGCTGTTCAGGACGGCCCAGGAGCAGAAGAACAGCCTGGAGGCCGCACGGGCCAAGCTCGAGCAGATCGAGGACCAGCACCTGGTGGAGATGGAGGACGCCCTGAACAAGCTGCAGGAGGCGGAGACGAAGGTAAAGCACCTGGACGGGTTGCGGGCCATGTGTAGTCAGCAAGCCCAGGCCCTGGCCAATGCCACGGCACAGCTGGAGGCCACCCAGCAGAAGCTCTTGCAGCTCGATGGGCTCTGGAAGGCCAGTTCCGAAGGTCAATTGGGAATGGAGAAGCTCAGGCAGCAGCTCCAGGTGGCTGAGCGGCAGATTCAGGAGTTAGAGAATGCAAAGCGGGCCGAGAGCTGCAGGTTGGTACTCGGGCGCCCTCGCCCACTTCCACGCTCACTCCCTGCATGCTGTGTGTCAGTCTGCTCGCCGCCGTGTTCCGGCTTGGTGCTGACAGGTCTCCTGGTCACGTCCCGTGCGGTTCCCTCTGAGGGGACTGAGAAGGAGTCGGCATGATTCGGGGGTTGTCATTGGTCCCCAGCACCTGGATGCCGTGCTAGCCTTGGCCCCGGCTAATCGGGCCCGTCTGGGGTCTTTCTGAAACAGAGAATTCTTCACGAGGCCAGTGAGAAAACAAGATAGGAGCCCCCAGAGCAAACCTCTGCCCCCCACCTCTTGGGCTTGCTGCATACTCGCCGAGTTCGCCCAGACACTTGGGCTCGAGTCAGGCCGCGAGGGTCTTTCCCTGACCTTGCTGACCACCTGCTCGTGTGACGGGCTTTGCCCTCCTCTCCCCGAGGCGCCTCAGTTCCCAGCTGGTGCTCGATGCCTCTGAGCCTCTGAGCTCCCTCAAGGCTGGTGACGTGGCCCATCTTGGTATTTCTCATTGCCAGCCCCTCCCTCCCTGCAGCACAAGCCCCCGCGCAGCCCTGCAGAGATTTCATCCCTTTCAGCCTCTAACAGGTGCTTGGGCCAAGTCCGCCTTCCAGCATGGCCCCCTGCTGGCCACAGGCATGGACTCTCATGGTAGCCCTGACCCTGGGGAAGGACGAGACAGTGAGATCTGGGCCAAGCCGAGGAAGCTGCAGTTCTCACCAAGGAGCCCCGAGAGATGCCCTTTTCCTCCTATAGGATTGTGGTGGCAGGGACGTGCCCTCACCCCCAGCGCCCCCCGCGCTGGGCACTTTGTTGGAGAAACTTCTCTGTTGGCCAAGATGGAAGGGCTGTGGGTTTTGTAGACAGGACTGACAGACATAACAGAAGGGCCCCGAGATCCCTTGGAGTTCCCTTCAGGACTCAGGACTCCTTGGCTGGCATTCCAGAAACACCGGCTGAAACAAATGGAATCAATTCCTAGGACACAGCAGGGGATAGCTGACCCTCTTGTTCGCATCAAGATGTAACAAACATCAAGTTCGGGTGACTGCTCTCTAGGGGATTAGAGGTTCCTCATTTTAAATTTCATATTGAAACCCATCAAACTTTTAAAGTCACAGAAAAGAAACTACAAGAAAGTAAATCTTGGGGGCCGGAGTGATAGTACAGTGGGAAGGGCATTTGCCTTGCACGCGGCCCACGTGGGTTCCATCTCCATCATCCCATAGGGTCACTGTCATTGTCTCTACCCTCCCGTTGTTTATCGATTAGCTCGAGCGGACCCAGTAACGTCTCCATTGTGACACTTGTTACTGTGTTTGTCATATGGAATACATCACGGGGAGCTTGGCAGGCTTGCTGTGCAGGCGAGATACTCTCGGTGAGCTGGCCGGGTTACTGCCAAGGAGAAATTCCTGAGCATTTAGGGTGACCGAAAAAGCCAAAAGGAAAAAAAAAGATAACCTTTTATTCCCTCCCTCCCCTCCCTTTCCCTTTCTTCCCTGTTTCCTCCCTCCCTCCTTCCTATGCTTAGCTTCCCTCCTCCCTTGCTTACTTCCTTCTTCCTCGCCAAGCCATGCTCTGGGCTCTGGGGTCCTCCCGCCCAGCAGTAGTGGGGCTTTTCAGCTTGGGGACCGATCTCAGTCTCGCCCAGTGGTGCTGCAGTTCCAACTCGGGCCTGGTGTGTACTCCAGCCCTTTGTGCCGTCTCCCCGGCCCTGGAAAGTCAGTCTTTCTCATAGGCTTTCTTATTTTCTGGTCACGCCAAAGTTAGGTCTAGAAAACGCCTCTGTTTGGGCCGTTTTCAATAACCACTAGACAGTCATCACCAGAACTGCCGGCGCCAAGGCCTTGGCTTCGTGAGCTTCAGGCAATCACGCTCACCTCACGCCTCTGTTCTTCGGGGTTGTGTTGGGTCATGGGCTTCTCATACGTGTTTTCTGTTTTGTTTTCCCCTTCCCATTCCTGTTTGTCTCCTTGGTCCATTCACTCCATCCTTGTGACTCTGGTAGGCCGATAGCCTGGCCGAAGAGCTGCAGGGGAAGGGGCTAGCGCTTCGTAGTCTTCAGGAGAACTTGAACGAAAGCGGCCGAGCTGAGGGGCCGTGTGTGCGCGCGTGTGTGTGCATGTGTGTTTGTGTGTGCATGCTGGTGAGCAGAGCAGAGGGGTCGTGTGTGTGCGTGTGTGTATGTTTGTGTGTTTGCGTTGTGTGTGTGTGTGTGTGTTCGTGTTTGTTCGTGTGTGTGCGTGTGTGCTGGGAGCAGGCAGGGGGCCGGCGGCTGACGGTGGCCCCCGGCTCTCCACAGGAGGAGAAGGTGGACGTGAGCCGCAGCCAGTGCCAGGCTCTACAGGCCGAGCACGCCAAGGCCAGCGTGGAGATCCAGGGGCAGCACGAGGAGGCGCCGCAGGCCCTGCAGCAGCTGCTGCTGCAGGCGAAGGAGAAGCTGCAGGCGGTGCAGGCGGAGAACGGGAGCCTGCTGCGGGAGGTGGCCGAGCTGAAGACGCAAGCCGACAAGGCCAAGGTGGGTGGGCGCAGGGCAGCGCCGCGGCTGATGGCGGCCGTGCCCCGTGTGTGTGTTGGTGCCCGGCCGCTTTCCACCACGCACCGCAGCCAGGGCTACGTCTCCTCTCTGGACCACCTGCTGGCCCAGTTCTGTGGCCAGCAGCCTCGTGTGCATGCTCAGGTCAGTCCCATTCCGGTAACATGGCCGCCAGCGGTCAGCTGCCCAGCACACACCAGTAGCCTGCTGCGGCTCATGGCTGCTGAGCTGGACAGAGAAGATAGCCCTTGCTGCAGAAAGTTCTGGAAAGTACATGGCGGTTCAACTGTGGTGTGCATTGAGACTCAGAAATGAAAACGCACAACCCGTTGCTGACGGGCAGGGAGAGCAGGTGAGGGAGACCCTGACACGTGTGCGGCCAGTCCTCCTGGAGCCCCTGGGCCCCTCCCAAATGACTGCAAACACTGCCCTCCCATTGCTCATCGATTGGCTCGAGCGGGCCCACTAATGTCTCCATTTTGAGACTTGTTACTGTGTTTGGCAAGCAAAAACTGTTGGCTTCAGTCTCCAAAGCTTGGTGGATTCGTCTGGATTTTCTATAAAGTGTATAACTTTTGGGACTAAGTCCATTTCCTGCCTCTGTTTGTCCCTGTGAAAATCGTTTGACAAGCAGTGGTTGCTTTTCCCTTCCCCTCCTGCACAAAGTTCCAAAACAAAATACTTTTTGTAGTTCTTTGAATTGTATTGAAAACTAGTTTTTGAATGCATCCCTTCTAGGACAGAGTGATGGATTTTATAATAGAAGAATTGAAGTGGGGGGAAAAATCTTATGCCCCAATGTCAAGATCCAACTGTACTTACACCTTCCGGGAAGCTGTCAGGAATCATTTCAGACGGCATTTCAAAAATCAAATCGGCTGATAGTAGAATGGGTAGGGTTCTGCCTTGTACTCGCCAACCCGGGGTTGATCCCCAGCATCCCGTATGGTCCTCCGGCCCTGCCAGCCGTGATCCCTGAACACAGAACCCTGAGCGAGACCCGAACACCAGCAGGTGTGGGGCCCCCATCCACAAAATAGTCAGGTAGTTATGTTGACGCTAAGAAGCTAACTGTGTTTGAGCCTCTCCATCCTGAGTCTGTGTGTGCGTGTGTGTGTGAGTGTGTGCGCGTGCACGTATACACGCGTGTGCAGGTAAGACTACTCTGCCATTTTCATTTCTGGTATTTAGGCCACATGAAGTGCTTGGCTTGCGTGTGCCTGCTTGATCTCATTCTTGTTTCCATTCTTCCCCGCTTTTTGTTTCTGCAGTCCTTAGCTTGCTTATTAAGCTCGGCCAAAGAAGAGATGGAGCTGATGTCAGAGGATCGCAGGGCCCTGAGGTCAGAGAATGAATTGCTGGCGAAGGAGAAGAGCTGTCTGAAGTCCGAGAGAGGGTGGTTTCAATTGAAACTCAGAGAAGCGGAGGCCAAAAACTCTTCGCTGCGGGAAGAGCAGAGGAAGCTCTGGCTGTTGAACCAAGCGATTCGCTTGGATAAGGAGAAGGTCATCGAGGCCAGGTGGGCCGCGGAGAAGCTCTGCCAGCAGGAGCGGCTCCGCCGAGAAGCCCTCGAGGCGCAGAAAGAGAAAGTGCTGGAAGAGGGCAGGGCGGTGCAGGAGGAGCTCCAGAGGGTGGGCGCGGAGAAGGACGCACTGCAGGTCGCCAAGCTGGGGCTGCAGGCCCTGGTGGAGGAGCTGCAGATGAGCAAGAGCAGCCTGGTGGCCGAGTGCAAGAAGGGCCTGGAGGAGAGGGGCCAGCTGGAGGAGCATGTCAAGAAGCTGGTTCTGGACAACCTATCCCTGGCCAAGGACAAGGACAACATCATCCAGAAGCTGCAGTGCTCCTACGAGGAGCTGGGTCGGGATCAGAAGTCGCTGGTGCAAGAGATCGAGGAGCTCACGGCTGAGAAGGAGGAGGCCGCCCGCGTGGAGTCGGCCCTGCGTGAGCAGCTGAACAGCCTTGGCTCTGAGAAGGAGCTGCTGGGCCAGAAGGCCACGAAGCTCCAGCGGCAGCTGCACTGGCTGCTGAAAGACCAGGCGCTGCTGGAGGCGCAGCAGACCGAGCTGCTGGCCGAGCGGGAGGCGTCCCTGCAGGCCCTGGCCTCCCTGGAGGACACCAGGAACACCAATGCGATGATGCAGAGTAAGGTGGGTGATGGTAGTGACCAGGGCTGTGTAGGCCCAGCCTCAGCCCTGAGAGAAACCATATCCTGGGCCATAGTGATAGCACAGCGGGGAGGGCGTTTGACTTACACACCGAATTCCCAGGTTCAATCCCCGGCATCCCATATGGTCCCCTGAGCACCGCCAGGAGTAATTCCTGAGTGCAGTTGTAGGTGAGCCAGTGCCCTCTGAACTCACAGCCCCACTTTCCCGGGCTCGAGTGACTGCTGACAGCCTGAGCTGTTCCACCCTAGCCAGGAGTGATCCCTGAGCACAGAGCCAGGGTTTAGTCCCTACCCCACCGGGTGTGGCCCCCAAACAAACCAAACTGACTACCCACAAAGGTTCTAGATAAGCATGTATACATACACAGACATGTATATATGTATATATGCGTGTATGCCTCAAAAGAGTCAGGGAATATCTACCATTTAAAATATCCGAAAATGATGCCGGAGCAATAGCATAGCAGGTAGGGTGTTGGCCTTGCACATGGCCAACCCAGGTTCCATCCCCGGCATCCCATATGGTCCCCGAAGCACCGCCAGGAGAACTTCCTGGGTGCAGAGCCTGGAGTCACTCCTGAGCAACGCCGGATTGTGACCCAAAAACCCCCTCCTAAAATTAATTGATTCATTAAAATAACAGAAGCCAAAAAGAGGGAAGCTGAGGAAGAAGGGGCTGTGCTCCCCTGGCGCCCGTGAGAACCAGGGGCCGCGCACATGCTGCCGGAACCCCACCCCCACACGCTCCCAGCACAAGAGGTGATGCTTAAGGAGTGAGAGGCCCCATGGACAAGGACACATCCCTTCAGTCAAGGGGTCATGTCCTTGCCAGAGCCCTCCAATGCCCTTCCTCTTGCTGCTCTCCCAGAACCTGGGCTTCGGGCTCCCATCACATTGGCAAATCTTCACGTTGCCAGAGTCGAACACCACTTTGGAGGGCTTCTTCCCTGCCAGGAAGGTTCAGTCGCACACGGAAACGCCCACCAGCATGTGGCTTTTCCAGCCTCTTTGCGCATGCTCTAGGCCCAGAGCTGGGGGAGTCTGGTCCTCTGGGCTGCCTTCCTGCTTCTTGCTCCTGTCAAGGGAGACAGCTGGGTGGGGTCTTCCGGGGTTTGCACACTTGGCTGCAGTCCGGTGCCCGCACCTACCATCAACAGGCTCAGGTCTGGCCTGCAGCAGGAGTCAGCCTTGGGGCCTCCTTGATGTCTCTCCTTCCCCAACCCCCCTTCCATCCCACCCGGGTCTGCAGCGCTTTATCGTTTGAATCCTCTCCAAGGAAGGGGACCATCTGGGTTCCAGTGCCCTGAGGAGTTCCCGCACACCCTCACTTCCTGCACTTCTGTACTTAACAGCAGGTGGCCCTGGAGGGCACTTGTGGGCTGAAGTGAACTTTGCATGTGGGCTGTGCAGGTGGACCCTGTATGGGCTTGTTGGGAACTGAACATTTCCATGTTTTGTTTTGTTTTGTTTTGTTTTGTTTTGCTTTGTTTTGTTTTCAGCTGGAGGAAGAGAGATCCGCGTTTCTTGGCTCTAGTGTGGGATGGCCTGGGCACTCTCAGAGACTGGCCATCAGAACTTGCCCTGAGGGAGAAAAAGAATCAGTCTGTTTTTCTGGTTTTATTTACACTTTCTTTGGGGGCCACACCTGGCGATACTCCAGGCTTCCTCCTGGCTCTGCACTCAGGAATCACTCCTGGCTGCTCTCCGGTGGCCCCTATAGGATGCCAGGGATCAAACCTGGGTTGGCTGCGTGCGAGGCAAGCACCTTTCCCGCTGTGCTATCACTCAGACCCAATGCGCCTGCCAGTTTTCAAGTGAAACATGAATGTTTGTGCCTACAGTCTTGCTTGCTTTTGTAAAGTGGGATTTCCCCCCGCCCCATTCATTTGAAAGAAGTGAGTTTGTCTTTGTAGGAGAGGGAAGACCCCTCTTGACTCCCTGCTCTGAGAAGAACCGAGGGGTACCAGCATCTCCTCCTGGGGTCTTCCCTGGGCACCCGGGAGCTTGCGCTCAGGAAGGGAAAGGGGAGCTCTGGCTGCCTCCAACCCTGGGGCGGGGACTGGAAGCGGGGCCCAGCCTCCTCTGTGGCGGGCTCCCATGGCTCCCGCAGATGGCTCACCGTCTCACGCTCTCCTTGAACACAGATTGATTTCCTGAATTCCGTGATTGTGGACCTCCAAAGAAAGAATCAGGACCTCAACATGAAAGTGGAGATGATGTCCGAGGCGGCTCTCAAAGGGAACGGGGACGACCTCAACAATTACGACAACAAAAACTTCGGCCCGGCCACCTCATTCTCTGCACTCTGCAGACATCTCCAGCAGTTCCTGGATTAGATAGCAAGCTACTTGTGAAACACCTACAATAACCAATTTACTGTCTTTACAAAGTTTATTTTTTTCCACTGTGGTTTTAGATGAATGTATGATGAGAAATTCAACATTAATAATTTTGGATTTTCTTATCAGAAAAAATTAAATGAAGGACCTGAACCATCAGAAGTTTATCATCCAGTCTGAATCTATTTATGTTCATTTGAATGTTTTCTAGTTCTGTAAAACGTGATAAATAATGTACCATCAGGGCTACATGGATTATAAGAACTTCTATAATTGTATATATGCTTTTGATGTATTTTCCTCTGGAGATTATCAAGTGTCTCACCAGTGAAAGATCGTAATCCATTGACATTTTGAGTAATAAACACGATTGAAATTGTTTCACAAACTATGTAAAGCAGTATTAAAATTTGAGCAAACAATGTTCTTTATCTACTTGAATAAAATTATTTCCTTTTTTTTTTCCCTTT